TGTGTTTGATAGAGTAGTTGATGTTGCATGTAGAGCATAGGGGTGGATCTGTTTTAGCTATGAGATGAGACATTTTATTGTTTTTATAATACATGCGTATTTTAAACAGAATATTGACATTATTGTTGTATGTAAAATTCTAAAAAGAAAGTTAAAATTAATTTCCTTCGCCTATTGTTTTAAAATAAAACTAATACATTGTAAATAATTAACAGCATAATAAGACAAAAATCGTTATTAAAATAAACAAGAACAGAAAAACTTCACCTACACAAATAATATTTGTTGTTTGAGAAATTAAAAACAATGATGAAATGTCATTTAAAAAAAATATTAGGATTAGCCAATGGATGATGTTGAATACCATTAAAATAATCATTGAATAGTTTTAAGATTTAAAAAAAAGCAAAAACTTAAGATATCAATACAGTTATAAGTTCAACACTTACATTTGAGAATAAAAGAACCCACAACTGACTTTTAATTTTAATTATACGATATTGTAAAAAGTATGATTTTTAAATATACAATAATTAATTATATAAATGAAAGTGCAATACATTAAATAATTAAATAATTAAGGAAAAAGTATAAAAGTAATGGATTTGCGTTATGGTGACTTAAACAAAAGATAAGGTTTATAGCGATAAAAAAGGTCAAATTATAAAGGAACTCAGTTATTATTAAAAGAAAAATGAAGTAAGGCGCGTGACAAGAAATCATAATGTCTTTATAATATGTTTTAATAAAAAAACCACTGAAATAATATTTTATTAAGTCGCATACAAATTTAAATGCATATTTTAAAACAACTTTTATAATATTATGAACAACTTATTTGAATACTTGATTATATCTATTTTTCGATAATTAATAAAAATAATTGGTTTCAAATTTTATATAGTAATTAATAATTATATTACATAATATACTAACCTAAATGTTAAGATAACCACAGAAACTAGAACTTATATCCTACAGTTACTCAACGTAAAAATTAGTCTATACATTATTAAATTAAAAATTAAAGTTATATATGTTAAGTAATTCTTAACTCAAATGTTAATATCTTCACTATGTAGGTACCTAATAATTATGATTATCAAAATCTGAGTTGTAGAATTAATGCATTCACATTTAACGTCATGTTAATGTAATTTTATACTTAAAAATACACTTTAAAATCTTTTTTTTTATTAAGACAATTTACAATCTGTATAAAATTATTACAATAAACAAATTTTATGCTAACATTAAGATTAAAATAACACGAGTAACATGTAGAGGAAAAACCCATTTGTTATACATCTTTTACTAATTTAATAGGCCTCTACACCATATGTTATGCTTTAGTCTTCATGGTGCATTTTTTGGGTGGGTGACGGTGAACATGTGGGATATTAAAGTATTTGTATGCGTTCTTARATTCTGATGGAAGTGTTATACATTATTTTGGCTTATTTAGTAGTTGTACTTATTTTTAAGTAGTCGTGTACTGTGGAGAGATAGATTTGAAACATACGACGGTGCCTGGGTTAGTAGCTTCAGTGCTACTTTAAAATCTTAAGAAATAATTGTCCTGCCCTGTAAAATCAATTAAATTTGATTTTTTTTTTGATTTATGAGGGAAATATATTCTACGGCTGAATTGATCTTCATTTTTCTATGTACTGTCTTAATATCAAACTTTTTAATAACTTAATTAACATATGTTTAAAAAAAATTATTATTTTAAGGGTTTTTTACAAATAATTTTGAACACTTGTTTTTTAAATTTATATATTTTTAATTTTTATTAGAGAATATACAATCTATACACAAAGACTAAAGTCATAGAAAGAATATTCGCTACAAACTACAATATAATTTAGAAAAACATGAATAAGTTGAGAGAAGAAACCATCCAGTGATCTCACTTCCTTTTGTTTAAATATAAATTGATAATATATACATTTTAGATTGTAAGCGGAGCGATGAATGTATTGATTTTACCATGATGTGTGTTTTTTTTTTKTGTCTGTCATCACGTTTTGGGGCAGTAAAAATGCTTCGATTTTTGACTTCAGTACCTCGTTCGATCAGAAAGTGAATCTAGTTGGTACTTTGGGGAGTCAAAAGTAAAACATTCTTAATACTTTTCTAAATAATCGAGAAAAACAAACTAAAAATTAAGGGAAATTTCACGCAC